ATATAAATTGCTTTATGCACAAAATCGTCAGTAATATTAGAATAGCATTTGTCACGGTAGTAACCGATGATTATAATTATTTTATTGCGCTATCATAACCATAGAAATATCAAACACTCTTTTTTTAGAGAGTAGTTACGAATTGTCTGAGACAACAGAAATTTATTTCCAAGTCTAATGGAAAGAAAGAGAGACGGAAGTATCTCTCCTAGATGGTTGGGTCGGGTGAACATTGCCCGCCAGGAGCAGAGATTCTCAGTGAGAGATTTTTGTTCCGGAGAGCGAACCATCGATCGTGGTAACGGACGATTAATCGAAAACAATTCGGGGGAAGAGGGCCACAATAGAGTTGCATTTAATCGAGTAACTTGCGGACAGCCGGATATCCTTTGAGGGAGAACGCAGATAGACAATAGCGCCGTCTTGGACAATGGTCGCATATTAAATCTTTGCGATAACTCCTTCTCTCGTGGCGACATTATAGCCAATTAGAACGTTCCAGTGGTACGGGTCCGTCGGAAGCGCGGCCAACCAGAGAATTTTCCGTCTCTCTCTCTCTCTCTTTCTCTCTCTCTCTCTCTCTCCCCTCCTTTCCGTTTACCATTCTCATCGCTCCTCTTTCCTCCTCCTCTCCTTCTCTTCCGCCTCCTTTTATTTTAGTACGCTATTGCACCGGCTTTTACTTGACCTCGATTAATCTTGGCCCCAAAAGTGTTTCGCGTAAGCTCTCCTGAGCAGGATCGCGCGTCTTCCTTCTCCTCCTCTTCCTCCTCTTCTCCTATCCTGTTCTCTTCTCATGTACTACGTTACCAGTAGAAATGATCGCAAACTGACCGAATCGTTCGACTGACTCATCTTGAATTTCGCGCCGGACAAAGCGCGTGCATTACAATACATCGTCCGCGACGGCAATTTCGCCGAGGGAATTTCGATTCCGAGGGCAAATGTCGGGCGTCGTTGGGCTCTCGCACCTCGATCCGATCTATGATTTATCATGGTCATTGCCGTAGCCGTAGGCGGTCTTATCCGACATGTCAACACAACGCGGTTGCTTACATATTGCCCTCCGGATGCGCATGAACGTCAGTGGTGTGCAGTATACTTACGTAATGAAGGGCGAAATCAGCACAAGACGGCCGTGAGAGAGAGAGACTGCACCATCCGCAGTAAAAGGAGGAGTTTGCACCTATCCGCTCCGGTTGCAGCGGCAACTCGAAACCTATATATCGGAGCCGCAATGCCGTACCACATACACATACATGTTTGTGTATATATATATATATATATATATATATATATATAGATTCATATAGATTCCACACACGTGGCACTCGTTTCTACCTTGCATCCTCGCAACGTTCCCGGGTCGCTCGTTTGTTCCCGAGATAAGCTATAATGCGGCCATAGTCGTGCATATGGATTATGCGTATTTTCGCCGCTACGCAGTGGGCGTCGCGCGCTCGCGCGCGTTCGCAACTTTCGTTCCTCAAGATTGCAAAATCGCTCTATGCCACGCAACCGCTGCCTGTCTCTCGCGGGCGGAATAACTTGCTCCATAAGTTTCGTCCTCTCTGTGAGCGCATCTCCCCGCGTCGATACTGTTCCCGTGTGTATGTGAGTTTCTCTCTCCCTCGTCCTCTCTCTCTCTCTCTCTCTCTCTCTCTCTCTCTCTCTCTGTCTATCTCTGTCTCTGTATCTCGCTCGCCGCCGCGATGCGTTAAATCCGCATCGAAATTGTTTCCCGTCCGGTTTCTCGATGGTAACTAGTCTACAACACGGTTATGCAAAGATATTTCTCGAATATAATGGCTGGGATTTGGGGATTCGCGAGCGGCCAGCTCGCGCGCTCGGGGAGTACGCTCTCGCCGCACAACGAATAACAATTTCGCGAGCGCGTGTGTGCGCGCGTGCAATTCGCATGGATGTTATTCGCCCGGTGACATGATTATTAATCGCTCGCGTCCTAACAATCCCGCGTTCGTCTTCTCGGCGCGAATAAAATATTCGCCCCACGCGGAAACGATTTGTCCGATACTCGCGCGGGCAATGCCACAAAGGTAATTGTATGTTCTTTCATATTCTTTCTCGCGAATATCTACACGAATTACCTGGGTACGTGTAATCCCCTCACAGCTGGGACAAGAGGACCTGCGTGGAGCGTCGGGAGCGGGCGGCAGAATGAACGCTGATGGAGGGATGGGGACGGGGGGAGGGGACGATGAAATGAAGATAAAAAGGTTACTTGAGCTAAAAGTGCTACAATTTATCAGTTATTCCACGCGCGGGGGGGACGAGATCGAATATATTTATGCGACGCAATTTTTGTCTCTCCGCGCAAAGGAAAAATTCCCATACGCGGGAATTAATACTGCAATTGTAACGTAATAACGAAATCTACGAAGGGAAAATGTCATTCCGGAGAGCTTCGTCTATTTTCGCGGTGGGAATCGACGGACGATCTCGCGAGATGTCGACTGCTCCGTTTTGCGTTTCTCCAATATTCGAATCCTCGCGCGAGATAACGAGATGAAGATCTCTTATCCCTGAAAAATTAGTTCAGACGATTAAACAAAAACATATTGTGAATTAAGTCGTCAATCTTCAAAGTGCTGTATCAGAAATTATCGTAAAGTTTTCTTTAAAGATTTATCTTTTATTGACTAAATCAAAAAGTTTTCCCTTGCACCAAATATGATTTATAAATTTTAATAATATTTGTTAATTCAGGGTGACTCTTTAATCAAACTCCGATTGTCTTAATCGTCGATCAATTCCATTATGACTAGCAAATAGCTATTGGCCAATTCTGTTAGTTACAACAGAATTAATCGGCGATTGAGTCAAACAGAGCTTGATAAAAAAGTCACACTAAATTAATCAATATTATTGACAAATGATAAGATATGCATTACTTTATACTTGTATATTTTCAATCTACCCATCAATAGCGCTATAATTTTATAAAAAATAATTTAAGACTTCGAATTCCGCAAAATGGTGCTAAATTTGGCCGCGTTCTTTTTCTCATAGAAATTTCACTGACTAAAACAAAATATTTCCCCATCCTTCATCTTTTCTCCAATTATTTAACGTCTATTCATTCACAATGAAATATCTACTGAGTCCTGCTCCTTCCCTGAAACGAGCTGAAGTCCCCATGGAACGTTGGAAACGAATTCACGAAAAAACGCGCGGCTCCAACTCGACGGCTAAATCCACCACAAGTGACCTCAAACTTTCCTCCGTGCGTCCGTTATAATTTTTTCTCTCTCTCTCTTTTTTTTTAAAAAAGGGTAAAGATCCGCCCTGCGGGAACGTTCGATTCGGGGAACGTATAATCGCGACGGAAACGAGCTCGCTGCCGATTTCCCGGCGGAACTCGGCGCGCCACATGGGCGCTATCTCCGCGGCGCGTAACGCACGCGTTATCTCGCCGTCCGTTTTCAGATAGCAATCCGGGCCGCGCGCGCTGTGCAAATAAACGGACCACGCGGTGGCGACGACGACGACGACGACGACGACGATGGTGGTGGTGGTGGTGGCGGTCGCGCGAACGCGATACGCGCGCAATGCACTTAGGCGCATGCAAATGCGTGCGGACGGTGCAGCGCGACGCGGCGCGACGCGACGCGCCGCGTCGCGCTGCGCCGCATCGCGCCGGCAGCAATTAAGTCCGAAGTACCGTCTGCATCTTTTATACGCTCCAGTCCCCGGCCTGGCCGCGAGATAATTAGTATGCGGTCGCGGCCCGATTTTAAAGCGACTGCGGTAATATCCGTGGCTGGCGTTTGCGAGATTCACGAGCGTAACGACACATCCGCGACCGTTTGCGCGCTACCGTCCTCTTTATGTCGTTCCTGTCCTCCACGAAGGGGAGGAAATAATAGCTGCAATTATATCGCTTCGGGGACGTGATGCACGGGAATCTTCATTAATTCGCCGTGGCTGTGTGTCCACGTCGAAACGTTATTTGCTCGCGTTCGATCGCGCCGCCCGATTCCAAGTGGAAAAACGCCAATCGCACTCGCACGGGCGAGTATTTACCAGCACACACACATATACACACCCATACTCTCTCTCTTTCTCTCTCGCTTCGTTCGGAATCGTCTTAATCCCTCGACCAGTTACGAGCACTGGGACATAATCCGCGAGGATTTCCAACGGCGGACGCCGCGTGATAATTATTAACGACGACCGCGCCGGCGGACGTTTTAACTGGACACCCCCGGATATACTAAGTGCCCTGAAACTAACGGTCAAGCGACTATGTAATCGATTTGCATGCATCGTTTCGTGATGTGGCCCGACTCGTGGGCGAGTTCGACGACGATGGAGAGACGCGCGTCGGAAAAACGGCAAAAAGCGATGTTACATGCGTTGTATGTGCGTCGCCGCGGGAGATTAAAAAGTTACAACGGAATCTACGGGCTCGCATTCTGCCGATATCTTTCCGCTTTTTTCTCTTCCCATTTCCAAAAAGCGAGATGCGCCCAACGTGAAAGCGCGGGATCGCGCCCGACGGACAGTAATGTACCCGGAAACTCGTCGGCACACTTTCCCCTCCTCTTCCCTTCGCTCCTCCTCGCGGCGTTGCAGACGCGAGTGAAACATCCGTGATGTTCTGGACGTTTTACGCTTTTTCAACCGATTCGCCGTCAGTCGTCGTCGCGTCAATTCGACATTGCCGCTCGTTATTACTCGCTTTCGAGAAGCGAGAGAGAGAGAGAGAGAGAGAGAGAGAGCGCAAAAGAGAGAAGAAGAGAGAGAGAGAAAAAGAAAGAGAGAGCAATATTTATTAAGGACTGTGGAATGTAAATCTCCTCAAACATACATGATGAATAATAGTATATGTCAGCTGTGTTTGTTAACACTAGTTTTTTAAAACTACGACTTTTAAAATTACGAGACAGAGAGAGAGGGGGGGGGGATGAAGGAGATAAGAGTTTACTGGCGTGTATACCATCGCGCGCGACTTCATTAGTCCCTGTTTTTAATTACAGGAGAGGGCGATGATTATCTCACCGTGTCGCTGAGAGACGGAGGCGCCGCGGTCGGGATGACTCTGGCCAAAGGAAGATTGGATCTGCACATAAAGCCGACCAAGTTGCGGTTCGACGATAATCAGTGGCACAAAATCTCCGTCCACAGGAAGGTTCAAGAGGTAAGAGGGTTTCTTCCCTTCCTTTTTATCGTCTTTTGTTGCTCTCCGTTCACCCTGCACGGCGAATGGTCGGAGCACCGATCTCGCTTGTTGCAGAGCCGTTACGTCCAATCGGACGCATTTTCACTCTGTTGGGCATGAACCGATTGAAATTTTCTTTGACTTTGGGTAATCGGAGCGAATCAGCAATCAGAATTAATCAATCGTCACATACGTATGTGCGTGTAATCGCGAATAATTTGATCGATCGCTAAAAACTAATTATTAATCGCCGCATAATGGCATCAAAATTCGAGTAATTAATTTAATTAACGGATAGAATTATTTGTGCGATTTTATACATGACGTGTTGATTAATTTTGATTAGCGATTTGTCGATTATTTCAGTCAAGGACAATTTTAATCGACTAATGCCCAATACTGAACACGGTGAAGTCCGATTGAACTCCGGTGAAGCTTAGTGTTTGATAGGACAGGCTTCACTGTCTTTCTGATCGTTCGCCTACGATACAATATCATACATGTCAGGCTGCCCAAGTGACAGATCGTTCGCTGCGGCAATAATGATTACAAAAATAATCTCCTCGATCCGATACGTGTTAAGGATTTATCATTGAGGCTTCATATGAGAGCTTGGTGCGCGTTGGAGCGTGTCAGCCGGCCTGCCTGCGAAATTAACGCGGGGCAACATTGACAGGGGTGCAAAGATAATGCTCGGCCAAGGGGCATGAGTTATCTCGCGCGTTATGGATATATTCGGCCGATATATTCGGTGAGCAAATGTTTGATGCGTCTAAGTCTGCCGACAGCCGGCGCAGCTTGTCCTGCCGCCATAAAATGTCCAATTTTAATGGCCGGAAAGTGGAAAATCCGATACAGTCCGGAAGGCAGAAGGCGCTAAATTTTCGCGATGTCGCGATCCCGAACGGATCGGCGAACGGACGTGAGAGCAATTTCGTTAATGTCGCGGGTATACACCGGCATTCATCGCGCATTACGCACCGTAGGATAGATAACGCAATTATTTGCGCGCCGCCATTGCGAGTTGCGCGAGCCGCGGTACGACGTGAGTTTATCAGTTTAGCGGCGCGATGTATCGGCCCTTGCCGAATCGCAACGCATGCTGCAAGTACGTCGCAATAATTAACTGTGGACCGTAGTTCGCGTCGTTAACTCGTAGTGAGCGTTTGCGGATCATATTTTGCCTCGTTTCGCCGTTCTTCCTGTTTTCCGATCGCGGCAGTAGAGATTCTGACAATTCTTCCGCCAAGGGATAACGAGATATTAACCCTTCGGGCCGTACATTTCATTTCTCGATGAAGTCTCTTCGAATTGGGCACACAGAGCATTTCGCTGATCAGTTAAAATCGTTAAAAATGGAGAAAATACTATGCGAGACGCTAGCGTTCTACTCTGGCTTAAAAGGTTAATTTGGAGCTCGTGTTTATCGCTCGGCGATTAATTTCACCCTGAATTTAACGTCTGTTTGATTCATTTTTATTTCCTCCATTGCACCGAGCGTGAAATTACGAAGGGAACCAGAAATAGAGGCGCGTTGTTAATGCAACAATTTATTAGTTGTTCTGTGCACGACACGTCAAACGTATAAAGTAAACAAACGGTATGAGAGTAAAAATATAAAGTGAACAAAATAAAATCATTGATTTACGTAACGTACATAGGTAATGCAGTAACATAATTTTTGTTTTTTCGTACTGAAAGGATTTTCGATATCGAGATTACAACGTAAACTGACGAGATTTACACACTGAATGTGCAAAAACCCGAATGATACATTTCGGACAAACAGATTTTAATCTATCATCTACAGCTTCTCACTTGAACGATGAATAGCTTGATTCTTCTTCCCTGACCCCCTCATTCCCGTTCAATTCTTACACTTTAGTATTACTCGATTTACTTCCTCTCTCTTTTTCTGTTTAATCAAGCTAATCTTTGTCATATATTCTCGTGACTTTTGTCAGCCATCGAGCAACTTATGTAGACTGTTTCACCGTGAAAGGGAATTTCACAAAGTGGTGTTATCGTGATGATAACATGAATTGGCTGGAAAGGGATCGAACAAACGTAAATCGCGCAACTTGATAGACACTCGTATTTTAACGCAAGTGGAAGACATTTGCGAAAAAGAATTGGGGTATTGACGTGACACAATGTAAAGGAATTCCGATGTAGCGTAAATATTATTTTACCGCCAGAGGCAAGGACTGCAGAAAAATCTATATTGTTAAGAGAGTAAAAACGAAGGGAGAGGGAAAAATTAAAGAGGGGAAAAATTATCAGAATTTAAGCACTTAAGACGCAAAATGCAAACAACTGCTTTATCTACTTATATAGTTTTTTATTTTGGTATAATATAAATTCGTTTTAATATAGTTTTCATTTTAAGTGATATAAAATATCAATAATATATAATATTATTATATATAATTATAATATAATTATATATTATATATTAAATATAATTACATATATAAACAAATTTATATTGTACGAAAATAAAAATTATATAAGTATAGATAAAGCAGTTGTTTGCATTTTGCATCTTAAGTGTCTAAATTCTGATAATTTTTTCCCCTCTTTCATTTCTCCCTCTCCCTTCGTTTTTATTCTCTTAACAATACTAATTTTTCTGCAGACCTTTAGCGGTGAAATAATATTTACACTAGCGATATAAAATATCAATTATATTTAATAATATTATATATTGTTGATATTTTATATCACTTAAATTTACTAATATTAATAATAAAAATAAATAGTATATTACTTTTTCCATAATTGATACACCTCCTTCGTCCTCACTGTCTTAATTGTTCTAATTTTGGCTAGTTATTATAAGTTATTAAAACATTGTTTTCTATATATAATTTATGTATGTAAAATATGAGATTAATATTTAAATAGAATAGAATTAAAGTACCGATTTTCCTTCATAAAAACGGGCATTGCGCAACACTGTTGCAATTATCCTAGATATTTGGCCGTGTGCACAAAATGTGCACCGTTAACAGAAGGCACGATCGGCCGAGAGGACCTCTTGTACACCGGCTGGATTTTCTGAGCTTATCTATTTCTACCCGATCGTTCGTTATCTTGTATCGGGTTAGGGAATGCGCCACTCCGCGCTGTACACGGTCGCGATTTAGGGGCTGCGGATGTGCAGCGCGTGAATTAGGTCGAGAACAGCGTATAGTCCGACTAATGTCCGCGGCTGCTTGGGATAATTTTCCCGAGCACACGCTCTTCGCTCGGGCCGCTTCCGCAGCTGTGTAAACGAGCTATCGATTTCCCGGGCATGTGCCGAAAGATCCTCCCGCGCTAGGGCTTAGGCCGCCAAAATATTTGCCCGACGTCGCAACGTAGTTAGAAGTATTTCGTGATTTCCGCGAAAACACTCTCGCGCTCTTTGACGCGACGCGCGCTGTGGACGCTCGCTTGAAAATGTGCAGTTAGGGAATTTGCTCGACAGCGACATAAGATCAGAGGGAAGAAATCAGAGATATTACTCGCAAATTGGTTCCTTGAAATACTTTCGATTGACTCATAGTTTCTCAGAATCAAAATTATGATAAAAACAAACGCTTGTGATGAGCATAGAAGAAGGTAATGAAGGAAAAATTGCAGAGAAAGTTAAAACATGAAGAAAGAGAAGCTTGAAAAATGAGTGAAGCTCATGTGCTGACAAGATTCTAGAAAAATTCAAACTGCTCGCCAGATGCGCGAAAAGTCATATGTAAACCCGAGTAGAAATTTTGATCTCACGTTAAACCTTGAATTCTACAACACAGTAGGAGCTAAGTTAGCAAAGCAGGTTTAATTCTAAAGATACAATTTACTTCTACTTTGACTTTGATGATGTCCAAAGTTTCCCTTTTCATTTTCTTTAGCGTCAAGATGGATGTTGAATGAAATAGTGAGGCTGAAAGTAGAATCAAAATTTGGACTCGGGAAATCTGTGGCGGGAACATACCTTGTTACATGTAGAAGGAAAGATACGATGCACATAATAAGAAATTGGTTGTGAGCAGCACACACAGTTGCATCAGGCTCGTTATCTTTGTGTGACGATAATGTGTATGATTGATATGACTCTGTTATTTTGATGCATCAACTACATCAGTGTAGTCGCACGTGATCTGGTCGTGGCAAGCAGAGAGATCGGTCGCGGGAGGGAGACGTGACATTTACCATGGATACACTCTGGTTGGAGCGACCAGATGCCGTCGCTGCTGCAACGCCAACGTAACTCAGCGATTGTTCTGTGGCTGCAACAGCCACATAATCAGTTGTTGCGCGTATTTCACTATTGAATCTGGTTGGCACAACCGGATTTATGTGCGAGCTCATCGTACCGTTTTCTTCCGTGTACGACCGGCCCGGTGTCTCTCCATCGCAGTTCACGTGGAATTCGGCGTCGCGAGGAGCGAGACGTTGACGAAGACCGGGCTGTTTTTACCGCGCGCTGATAGGTCGGGTAAATAAATTTCGGCACTGCCGCAAATTGTGTGTCCGACAGGCGTACAACCGTGGCATACCGTGCACCGGAAGACACGGCGTGGCGCGCCGCGCGAAACTTGGGGTTCTCTGTCGAAAGTTTGACAGTTTCAATCTAGCCTATATACGTACGTAGGCAAGTTCACTTGCGCGCTCCTTGATAACTATTACTGCCACTAGGTACTACTACTATTGCTGGTACTACTACTACTATTACTACTATTACTATTATCACTACCACCACCGCCATGTACCTCCGCTATCTTTTCCACTCTCCTAACTTGCAGCCACGTCCGAAATATGGTGTCTTCGGAGACAGCCGGGGATCGATGAGCTTCCGTGTAGGCGACAGCGATCGCATGCGAAACGATTCCGACGCGCCGTTCCGTCTCGCCATATCGAGTTAGCGAAATTATAATTCACCCTTAATCGTTAACGCGCTAGCGGCTCACCCTCGAGCGACACGTGAGCCGACTTTGCAA